CACTCTGATGGCAAACAACAGGTTTTGTGCAGATTTGGTATGTAATGTTTATACTTAAGATGTTTTCTATTCTATTCCAACCTTTATTTTGGTTTTCTACAACAATGTAGAAACTGAAAAGTAAACATGATAACAATACATGGGAACATGTTAGTCATGTCACAGCTAGGTTGAGGTGCAGAGAATTTGGGGAATGACAATTTTGGCCAAGTCAAAATTTACATGAAACTTTATCATCATGACAATAATTTTTTTAATACTTGAGCGAAAAGCACTTGCAGCTGCAAAAATAGTAGACTTTTTTCCACTATTCCAGGCAAATTTTCAGACTTTCTGATTTTATCGAGAATACCAAAGTCTGTATGAACCCAGATACTGTTAAATTATTAGATATAAACCACTAAAGAAATTCACACAAAATTTCATCCGAGACCTCAGTGGTAGTATTGAATAATTATTGTCTGTAACTATTACCCGGTAGTTTCTTTGATATATTTGGCTGTATAATAAACATAATTAGACACTGGCTTAAAGAGTTTTTTTCTACTGTTTTACATCTTTGGTGACCCAGGGGCAGTTAGTTGGAGTGGGACAAAGAAAACCCTGCAAACACTGAAACAACAAAAAGGTTCAATTTTGGGATTTCTTCTTCCACCCCCAACTTAACTGCCTCTGGGTCTCCTAGGATAGCTGATTTACAGCTGAAAACTGAAATTAATATCTTTACACCACGTTATTTCTCTATTTACACCAAACTTAGAGCAGTTTTCATTTGAGTGTTGAAAGCTATTAGACAATTGCTTCGGTTTTGGTTTAACTACGGTTTGAGACATTTGACTGAGTAGTCTAACTAGAAAGTAATTGGTTTGGTTTTGGTTTGATGACACTCAATTGAAGACTCCTCTATTACATAATATATAATTAGTTAGTATTTCCCCTCCTCCTGGACTTCATATTTATTAAGGACTTAATCTTTATTATTCAACATGTCAGTTACATCTGAAGGACATAAACATCTTATGTACTCCTGGGGAAAAGATAAAAAGACCCTCTGAATTCATCAATCACATCTGTCAAGCATGATTCTCCATGCATCGCTTGTTCTGTGTCTAGTTTTACTTAGATCAGTTAAAATATGAACAGTCAGCTTTTGACTCCAAGGGCAGGCTTAGCATTCAAAATGTCCAAATTAGTGCTACACCTGTTATTATGACGTCACCATCTCCATGAGAGCTGGTCACCAATATTGTTTCAAAGAGTCCGAAACACAAGGGGGACACATCGATCCATAACTAGTTTGTGTCCATATCTTAAAAAAATTATGATGTAAAATCCTGGTTGTTTTGACCCAACGACGTGCCACTGTGGCATAGCTTTTTCCTCCTCGCTCAGCGTTTGGTATTTTGGAGTTCCTCTGCACGATATATTCAGGAATGCACTCCAACTTTCACTTTACTTCCGCCTCTGTGATCTTCTTTTGATGCTGGGCGAAATCAAAATTACCTTTGCTGGTGAACGAAACTTCACTTTCCTTGATCCACCCTTAAGTTTCACTTTGGAGGCCTTTTTGATCTTGCTAGGTGGTTTCAATATTGTCTTTAATGTTGTGATTTTTTCAGCAGTCTCACATTGGTCGACTGTTTCCAACAAATCACCTGAGGGTAAGCCGCGCTTGGTAATACGGTGTCGTTTGGACGAATTCTCCACCTTGGACCGCCTGCTTTGATTGGAGGTTGATTCGTGGAATTGGTCGGCCAACGAAATAAGGTTCCTCAACTTTGCTTCTTTTGTGATGATAGCTTTCTGCTTGTCGCAGCGTATATTACGACCTGAATTTAGCACATATGATCCATTCAGGCCAACCCCACTTGACTGAACAAGCAAACCAGAATTTAAAGCTGTTAGAATGGCGGATTTAATGGCTGCCTCATCCGGCGATGACGAATTGTTCACACTGTTTGTCCCATCATTTAGCTTTCTTTCCAAATATTTCACGATATTTTGCCTCGAAACTCCACGATCTTTCCCTTCAGCTAACGCTTTTACGGCTTCGAGCACCAGAGGAATATAATTCTGTTTCTTTCGTTTTCTTGTCGTCGCTGTCATGTTGTCTCGATTCGAAATCGACGCGAAATCTTAGTTCGAAGGGCGTGCCGGTCATATGACGTAGTTGGTGGCATCATTCAATTATGACATTGTTGTAATTGGTGATAATTAACAACTATTAATAAAGATTATGTCATAATTGAATCCACAGATAGCGAAGCCGATCGCGGATGAGTAGCTATCTGGTCTATCTAGCAAAAAAGTAAAAACAATATCAGACTGACTCGAGAAGGAGCGTACACCCGGGGGTATGGTTGGAGGAGGGGGACTTTCTTTTCACGAGTGCCTCCCGCGAAGCGTCTTTTGAGGTTGGAAGGGAAACAGAACGTGGAAAGCGCGCGGGAGTAAAGTTGATCTCGCCCTATTCGATCACTTTGCTGTAGAAACAAGGGACTACATTCACGAAAGCCAAGAGAAAAAAATGCTTAAAAAAGGAAAGCACAGCTGACTTCGGTGAGTGTGATTGTATAAATATATGAACATTAATGAAAATGATTGCTACAGTTGAACCTCCACTCACGGCCACTTTTTTGTCTTTTTGGGGTCCCGGCGGAGAGAGCATACGTTCACTCTAAATAACCTCTCGACAACGGGCAGTGAATCAATGACTGACGAACGGTGTTTACAAAACCCCATATTTATTGTAAAAGTTCACCAAACTTGATCCGTGCCAAGCGTCGTTGGTCTCTGTTGTTTAGTTTCTGTTTTATTGATATTTTGATTGTGTTAAGCATTTGCATGCTAAAATAAGTATTTTTTAAGAAAACAAATGTTTCACCCCCGAAAAAAAAAAAAACAAAAACAAAAAAAAAAANTTTAAAAAAAAAAAGAAACGTAAATGATGTTCCCCCGAAAAGAACAGGTGCTCTCTCCTCATAACGGTCACCTGTCTACAAACGGCCGCTTTGCTCTGTCCCCAAGGTGGCCGTTGTGGAGAGGTTTAACTGTACTTGTTATAACCTACGTAGCAAGATGTGCACCACCCCCTGCTTCGTCAGTCAATTTTTTGTTCTCGCTCCAATTTACGCGCGGTCGGCCAGAATGCTGAAAAGCTCTTCGTACGGGAAAGCTTGCGACGTGTACGTTATTCTTGTACGAGCTGGGTCCGTGTGTTAAGAGCAGTTCCAGTGCACAGGATATTATTTCTACATTCGATAGAACACCGAACTGCAGCAGTCTAGATATAACACTCGCCTGGGCCCCGTTTCTCGAAAGCCCCGGAAACTTTTCGGGCCCGGAAAGCCATAGTGAAATCTCGAACCCTACGATTACAGAGCTGTTTTATTCACATTTTCTTAACATGAACATAGGTTTCCTTCATACAAGAAGTTTCAGGGGTATACACTTCTCCGTTTTTAGATACGGATGAACTAAGAATGGCTTTACGGGCCCGAAAAGTTTCCGGGGCTTTCGAGAAACGGGCCCCTGGACCGCTGAAGCAAAACTATTCAAACCTATATACGATTGATTCAATTGATTCAAAGACCGTGCACCCTGACTACAACTCGGAGCATTTTCAGCAAAACAGCGTTTCATTTTCATTCGAAATGTGTTTACGCTGGATATAAATTAATCTCAAAGATCACCTGGGGCCATGTTACATTTGTGAACACACCATCGTTGATTTTCAGTTGTTGTAAAGTGTGCAGCAACTCCGTGCGCATTTTTCTTAAGTGGCAAACGCTTTCCTCCACAATGACATCAAAGAAGCCTACGCCGAAGAACTCCAAATTTTAACATTATTATTCACTACCATTTTTACATTAATCATTTGTTGGAACCCTTCTGTCTATTACATGTTTCAAGGCTTTTTTTTTTTTCTAGCACTTTTACATTTATTGCAAGTGGCTGTGCTGTAAATATTCTGATTTACGGCTTGGTGAAAAGAAGATTTCAAGAAGCCTACAAAAGCGTACTATATTATAGAGGACATAACATGTTATCTTTTAATAGCATTTTCCCGCAGAGGAACTCTTTCTTTAAAGAAACGATAGGGTAAGAATAATTATATGCAGATATTAAAGGTTTTGGTTTGCTGTAGAAAATAATTTTAATGTACATAACCAAGAGTAAGATTGTTTAATGTTTGTTATGTCATTCACGGTACAATGTCGGAGCTCTAAATTCCAGTTAGCATAACATCACCTTTGAAATGGACCCACCTTCAGTAACCTGTGATCAGGCGTTCTTTTTACAATCAGATGGTTTATAACTATATTAGTCATCAACATTTGGCCGCTGCGTCTCCGGCCACCAAATTGATCAGAATTATAATTTAACCCACTTGCCTAGACTTTACTATCTGAGGCTTGTGTATTTCCTTGTAACATTGATTCAGTAGTAATAAAACTGTTGTTTCTTCTAAACCGTTCAACGTGGAACGCTTCATACTCTCTAGATCTATCCCTTTGCTGACATTCGAGTCCTGTGACGTGCATAGCTATATCTCTTCATAACGGAACTTTACATATTGTTTACCGCTACACAACCAACGTCACACCGTGCAAAACGTCCCTCAACAAGACCAAGGTACAAGGAATTTACGGCAAAGACTAGATGTTCACTTCAACGTGTTGTAGTAGTTGATGTCCCTGTGGTTTGAAGATTAAATGTTCAACATATAATAGTTGATGTCCCTGTGGTATGGAATCACTTTTGTCATCCATCGACAACTTGTTGTAGCAGCTGACGAATTTCTTCCAGCGCGGGCACCTCAGTGATAGAGACTGCTCTTAAGAGGAGTTTTGGTAACACAAAAGTGCTGTGTTCTGTTGAACCTACAGTTATACTACGACACTCGTGCCCTGCAAATAGAAATAAAAGTCGGTTTCACAGGTAAATTTGAAACAAATATTTTTGAACAGAGATTTATCTCCTGCACTGTATCTCGAAGCTCAACGCCTCACTAATATTTTTGTCCGCTTCTGTTATACTGACCTGGAGCGCGATCCGCGTTAGGGAAATATTGATCAGTTCCTTTCTTGAAGGAGACTAATATTTCCCAGTACAAAAATAACAAGCCGGTGCAATTAAACTTTACAATCTTGGCTCGTTTGTCTGCAACTTTGCAGATAAATACACTTTTAAGACATCCATTCTTGCCAAACGGGGACCATGTTAGGCATATTCGCGCAGTTATAAGCTAGCAGACAATCAGTTTTCTTTGTACAATGTTTATACATATTGGTTTATACAAAGTACGTAAATCGGCTCAACTGGATTAGGGAACCAATCAGAATGCTCCTTCTTAAGGTGGCTCCCTAGGGTAATCATTTATGGCGTTACGCGCGCAAGTGTTATGTTTTGAATGCCGTTTTTGCATTCGTAATCCTCTCAACTAATTACATGTAATAAGCAATGATTAAATAGTGTTCTACTATCATCTCTGTTAAAATTATTGGTTTTAGTCCTGAATTAGAACTGCCCAAGCAAATATGTTTTTTTTGCCTTTTTAGGGCTTTACTTGCGATTGTGTTGAATTTCCTTGGGTGAAATCTTCCAAAATTTTCACAGCATATCGCTTCCTGCGGGACCCGAATTTTAAACACGAAAAAAGTAGGGTTTGTAAAGGCAGGTTTTTCGATTTTTGCAAATTTACGTCTTTTACCGCTGCGAAAAAACTGGTCTTATAGATTTCCCTGAAAAACGAGCTCCGACTAAAGTAAAATATTTACTACCAATCTGCCAAGTTTTACGAAATTTCACCGAAGGAAACGCGAGAAAATTCACTGTCAGCCTTGCTTGTTGTGCTCACGTTGAGGTAATAAAATATCGAAAAACACTGACGTTTTCCTTCGAGCGCGCACAGATTACTTGAGCTTTTGTCCTCAGCGCGCGGGCAATCGTAAAACTGTAGGGAGCCACCTTAAGAGCCAGTAAAACACCAGTAATGAGTGTTATCAACCTTCAGATAAACGTGTTTGTTTCTCACCTTGGTTTGCTCCGTCACCTCCACTCTTGTTGAAGCGGAACAGCTTACATTCCAACAAGATTCGCCGTTTGACTTGGGATGAACAACAGTGATTTTCAAAGATCATTTTAGCGTCTGTTTCTCTCGACGATAAATTTCCTTGATTGAGCTACGAGGAAAAAAAAACCGCGTTTATACTGGTTTGTCAGGTCTGACAGCCAAAGATATGAAGATAAATACACGTCCTTACGCTGGTCCGAATAAAACGAACTATAAAAAAGGCGGGTTACACTTCGTTTAAGGTGAACGCACGAAGGATTATACAGTCTAGAAGCGGGTTGAGAAGCGGGCTCGCTAAAAGACGGATACTTACACTAAAATGTCTTAGTCAAGAAAGGGCGTCCTCCAGGTTTCTGTCGACTGATAATTTGCGAGGGACGAAGTCGATAGAAACCAGTAGCGAGCAGTGTTTTTGTTTTAGATTAAGCAAAGCCCGGTGCCGTCCGGTGACTGTGTTTTAGTTTACGTGAGAGTCGCTTAGTGGGCTATGCCAATAGGATATGAGCTCGATTAGCCGACGTGAGGAGTTTGACCATGCGCAATGTTTGGAACATTTCATGAAGGAAATAGTAAACTTGCTCCTCCTCATACAATACTGAAGTTTTAAGAACACACGAGAGTTATGACTAGCACTCGACTACCCCTACAATATGCTGTTCAAAACTACGCCAACGAATATTTACCACTATAATATGCGAAACTCAATTTTTTTTTTTTTTTTTGTAGTTATAATTTATGTCCATAGGATTTAGAATTACACTCCCTTTCAGATGNTTTTATTTTTTTTTGTAGTTAGCTTTACCTTCGGACGACTGTTTCCGCCAAACCATTTGTACCGCTGGTACATTAACTCTCCGGTGCGCATGGCCAAATCCTGAAGATGCCGCCACTGCTGACTGGACAACTTCAGCACTGTAGCCACAATGTCGTCATAAACATACAGCTGAGCCTCACCTGTGCCGTCTTCCACCACACACCTAGGGGCAGAATAATCCTAGGTATAGTTACTCAAGGAACACTGCACTCTGTTTGAAGTTTTCGTTCCAGCTGTCGAATGTTAACCTAATACTGTTAGCGTTTCAGGTCATTCCACTGAAATAGAACCTGCACTGAGATTTTTGTGAAACTTTGCCTATGGATTGTTTATATTATAGGAGCTTAAATTTTGAAATAAAAATGAGGGGTTCCCATGTTCGTTTAGGAGCAACAGCACCTCGTTTTTACACAAGAAATCCTTATAATAGCACCATGATTGTAGTCACGATTGCTTGCTAAATTCACGTTTCCGACGATTGCTTTTTGTTCTACACTGAGAATTGGTCCAT